AAAACATGTAGAGTCGTCAACTTTTTTTTAGGCCATAGATAGGCCTAAATAAAATGTTTTTAATTGTGTACCAGTTTAACGTTGAATATTATTTTAAAATCATAATGATACCTTGTAACGCGTTACTTGAAAACACTGAATACAGAACATCACTATTTCCACTTTGAAAACTGTAGCCGATGATTGGAAAGAAACCTCACAAGAACAGCATATTTACGAGAAATTAGCATAACTAGCTAAACCTAGTTTTTATTTTCTAATATTGTATCTTACAACACCAATAATTATAGTTTGAAACATTTCGTTAATGTTATAAAATTCATTAGAGCCTATTTGACCCGAAACAGAGATTTTCTCTAAGATAATGTAACACAAATATCATTTAGGCTTACGAAGAATGGAAATTATCCAAAAACACGACTTCTTAATGTAATTTAAAACATCGAATCAAGCAACTAAACATCACCTTTAACGAAAATGTAGGCCTAAAGAACTATAAATAAACTACAAAACATACGTCAGTATAAAACTATAGTAAAAGCTTAAATACAAAAAAACAAAAAAACATGCATAATTCACGGCTTTGTTGTTTGATGCTCCTTGATTAAAAACTGATAGAAAACCAAAACTCCAAACGATGATCTTAACTTTGGAAATAACGTCGGGATATTGCAACAGGACCTCTTCTGAGTCATGTGTGTATGTGTGGTAATTTCACATAGATAGTTTAAAAATGCTAGATTACTCTATAAGCTCTTTAAACAAATAATGTGACAAATTCTTTCCAGGAGACATTACTGCAATCCTTCATCACAGTTACTACTTTAACACCTACACTAACTCAACACCCACGCCTTCGTTTTGAGCTTGCATATAATATCGTAAAGGAACCTATAAATAACTCTTATTGGAGTTGGGCTAAAAGACAATAAGGAACTTAACAATGTATAAAAAAATTCTCATACAAAACCTGGCAGTTCTTTCTCTCATGGTTAGAAACCAACTATACCAGACCTAGCAGTTCTTCCTATCATGGTTAGAAACCAACTATACAAAACCTGGCAGTTCTTCCTCTCATGATTAGAAACCAACTATAAACCTCGC